TCTAGTGTCATAATGAACCAAAAAGTCTACAGTTGAAGTAGAGCTCACGTGTTTTCTATGATCTCGGTATATGAAGAGTTCGTGTGGTCAGCACCACGCAAACTGCATTTAATTTTCTCTAGTCGTCGCCCAACTCTACTTGCCCTACCACGCCGCTCATTAATTAGGGGCAAGCTAAGTTTTATCTGTAATTATCTGTTCAATTAACAAATAATGCATAATTAATCTTCACATACCAGTGGCCACATTACACGTTGAGATGGATGTGATCGTTGGAAAGTAACCTTAAACTAAAAGCTCAAAAGTTAACAAAGCATTTATTTTTAAACCTTTCATTAATGCTTACCCTAACACATCTAAAATTAACTATAGTTCAGTCTGAGCCTAACTATATGTGTTGTTTGAGTGGTGTATTATTGTATAATTTATCAAAGTAAGAATAAAAAATACCCCCCCTCACACACACACACACAGAGCACCTAGCAGTGTTGTGCTAAGTTTAGAAAAACATGTGGTAAGGGGTGTCAATACATTTTTAAACATAGGCCTAATTAATAGGATTCGCCTGATATCAGGTTTAGATAGGCTTACATAGGACCCTTGGTCAACAAACATGTTTTTAACTGTAACTAGCCCTGTTTCCACTATCAACAAACATGTTTTTAACTGTAACCAGCCCTGTTTCAACTATCAACAAACATGTTTTTAACTGCAATCAGCCCTGTTTCAACTATCAACAAACAACATGTTTTTAACTGTAACCAGCCCTGTTTCAACTATCAACAAACAACATGTTTTTAACTGTAACCAGCCCTGTTTCAACTATAACAAACATGTTTTTAACTGTAATCAGCCCTGTTTCAACTATCAACAAACAACATGTTTTTAACTGTAACCAGCCATGTTTCAACTATCAACAAACAACATGTTTTTAACTGTAACCAGCCCTGTTTCAACTATCAACAAACATGTTTTTAACTGTAACCAGCCCTGTTTCAACTATCAACAAACATGTTTTTAACTGTAACCAGCCCTGTTTCAACTATCAACAAACAACATGTTTTTAACTGTAACCAGCCCTGTTTCAACTATCAACAAACAACATGTTTTTAACTGTAACCAGCCATGTTTCAACTATCAACAAACATGTTTTTAACTGTAACCAGCCCTGTTTCAACTATCAACAAACATGTTTTTAACTGTAACCAGCCCTGTTTCAACTATCAACAAACATGTTTTTAACTGTAACCAGCCCTGTTTCAACTATCAACAAACAACATGTTTTTAACTGTAACCAGCCCTGTTTCAACTATCAACAAACAACATGTTTTTAACTGTAACCAGCCTTGTTTCAACTATCAACAAACAACATGTTTTTAACAAGAGACAAACAAATGACACCGACACCTCCAAATACGTCACTGAAATTCCAGCCACAGACTAAAATTCATCGCCAAATTCCTGAATTCGCAGTTCTTCACCTCATTACCGGCAAAGTCACGGTACTGCCGGCCAAGTCACGGTACTGCCCATCAACAATAGCTCAGCTTGAGACCGGTTGTGCCGGCACACGTCATCCGTTATGCCGGCAGATGTCAATGACCGTCCGGCTTCTCCGGCGAACAGCTTTGTGGGGGTACATTAAAACAACCAACATGACAGTTAATGGTGTAGGCTACAGGATTGTCTGGCATTCAGGAGTCATTAGACGATCTGTGGGGTGGTCTCCGATGGCTGATCATGTATTGATTGATTGATTTGTTTTTATGCCGTAGACTTGATCAACAGGGCTATTAGTTTTGGTGAAGATACAAGATTGTGTTTGTGTACATAGGGGTTTGTCTGGGCTGTTTTGGTATTAATTTGGGATTGTTATTGTTGTTCTGTGTGTATCACTTTGTGTTTGTTTGTTTGTCTTAGGTTGTCATGTTAAGACGGCTTAGGGTAGGTTAGGTTAGGCTGAGTTGGGTTAGGTTGAGTTAGGGTTGGGTTGGGTTTGATTGGGTAAGGTTAGGTTATGTTAGGTAAGTTGGGTTAGTTTATGCTGGGTTGGGTTCGGTTAGATGTACGTGTTGCTTGTTTATAACTTAACATTTTATAAATTGTTATAATTTGTTATAAAAAGTTATAAAACATTTTGAAACCAAAACATTTACCCGTTGTGATTTCGTAATGTTGTGTCAAACGACGTCAAGCGTGAGGTCACGTGATTAATCACGTGATACAGAAGGTGACCTGATTTTACCTGGTTCATTATTCTGTATGCACTTAATGCGATCGTTAAATGCAACAAAACGTATGTTGTGTACCTGTAGAAGGCCCTGTATTGTCCGCATCGATCATGCTCGTGATTGATGTTCAATACTGGCTGAACTATCACGTGAACATCACGTGACCATCACGTGGTGCAGTCAAGCGGAGAGTCCAACAGAAACCGTCTGAAGAAATTCTACAAGCGCTTCTCTGTGACTCGCGGACTTTGGGCAGAGGGTGTAGAGTTCATCTGTTTTTGTGGGGATGTGTCAGCAGTGTGCCTGGACATAACACCTAAAATATGCGGGGTACTTATAAGGTCTGACTAGACTCAATGAGATACTTCATTAAACAATTTTTATCAAAGATAAAACTGACATGACGCAAAATCAACACACTAAATACGCAATCCAAAGCTTCAAAAACATCTTTACTTTACAATTTTAGTTTAATTTTGTTTTGACATATGCACAGAAACGTCATAGGCCTTAATTGCAATTTTGCCATTCTAATTATTATTAGCAACAGTTACAATTGTGCCATATAACAATAAATTATAACAAATTATGTCATATAACAAAACATAACATTCAAACCATTAATTAGCAAGGCATTAAACGATAGTAATCACAATCAGGTACAAAGGTCATGAAAGACTTATAAATACAACAAAATGTATTACATATTCAAAACATGTCATTGTAACAATATTTAAACTGATCGTGTATATAAAATACTGACAGGGGCGGGGCAAGATCATATGGTTATATTGTGTTGTGTAGGGTATTAGTGGTAGAGAACAATTGTAGGGGGGGGAGGAGGAGGCTATGTCCTCAACTTTTTTGTTACTTTGGGTAAAAGTAAAAATTTTATGGAGATGGCGACCCACGGGGCAGGTGAAGTAGATTTAAGCTGCGACCTCAGGATAGTAAGGGATGATGTAGTCAGCATTATGGTCATCCGCCTTTACTTTCCCCAAGTCAGGCAACCATCAGATGTATTACGGGAAGTTCTAACAACTCCTGAGATTCGAACTCGAGACTTTCAGGTTGTGAGCCGTGCGAACTACTACGCGACCACCCCGTGGACTTTATTGTTTTCTTTTAATTTTAGAATTGTTTATTTTTTATGGACAATGATCTCTATCATTGATGTAACAACACATGTTCTCAAATATAATGTGATTTCTGTCACGTATTTTTAAGATGACATCAATTTTGTAGTTGTCGTTCTTGGGCTAGGTGTGTAGTACTCCTAGACAAGATGTTTATAATATAACGGGTTAAGATGCGGCATTGATATAAAAGTTGTATAGCGTGGGAGAGGCAGAATGCGTTTTTTTTTTATTATCGATATGTGATATGTGTAAGATTTCTAACTTAACATCTGAAATTATTACACAGCAAAAAATAAATTAGATCTGATAAAATACGTTATGTAACAAAATCCAGATCAAAATAACATTTCACATTATTATATACATAGTAGAATAGTCCCGATAAGCTAGCAAATCGTTTCACGCGAGATTTGATAACAGAAATTGTACATTAAATGTATTTAAAGAAAGTGTTTCCATACTTTTCACTAAAAACACCCTTATGATTACTGCTCATATAAACAAGAATGTTTAAGGAGAAATATATACAAGAGAATTAAATATCTACAGACAATTTCCTGTTGATTGATGGTGTATACATACGTTTTACAATCACCATCGAGTTTCTCCTTGGTGCGATTGCTCAAAAAATAAACTTTAGCATGTAGTAAAGTACAATCTAACTGTCTACTTGATACACACGTTTTACAATCATCACCGAGTATCTACTTAGTGCGATTGCTCTAAAAATAAACTTTAGACTGCAGTAAGATACAATCTAACTGCCTACTTGATATGGTGAGGGTAGGGAGGGGGATCTAAAAACTATCACGTGATATGTTTAAATGTGTTAATATCATTAAATAACGTAGCTTATTAAAAGACCACACCAAATTATCTTGCGTACATCCACCTTTACTTTAACAGACCTCGGTTAAAACCTCACACTAACCAACTTGAAGGAGGAACCGATTGGGTTTAAACCACTGACCATTCGACTAATTATGGTCTATTATAACCATCACACCATCAATACAGCTTCAACGGCATTAAACTACACGGCTATTTATAACTTGACAAAAAGGCCAGAGATAGACAACCCATACATAAAGTGGTATCAAAAATTGTAAAAGCAAGAAACGAAATTCACCACATAAAACATTCGTTAGGATAAACTATAAAAAAATATTTAAAATGTAGTGAAAATGGTCTGATTAGTGTTCTAATAAATATGGCATAGTTATTTGTATATAAATTAGAATTGTTTAATGGGTTGACTACGTAGGAAATCTGATATATATATATATATATATATATATATATATATATATATATATATATATATATTCTTTCGACCAAAACACTGTAGAGCCATGAAGTTGACTTACAATGTAAATATCACACGTGCGCTTAATCATGAAATCACATTTTTTAAAAGGATTAAAACCCAACCCTTCAAAAACCCAGCCCTTCAGAAACCCAACCCTTCAAAAATCCAACACTTAAGAAGTCCAATATTTCACAAACCCAACCCTTCAAAAATCCAACACTTACGAAGTCCAATATTTCACAAACCCAACCCTTCACAAACCTAACCCTTTATAAACCCCACCCTTCATAAACCCAACCCTTCATAAACCCAACCCTTCATAAACCCTACCCCAAGTCCTCACTGCTCTAAATGCACCAAGTGGACCGCCGTATCCTTCCTTGGGAGTTCGTCCGCGTATTCGATACACACATCCTGAGGATCGGTATCGAACTCGTCCACGCTGTTAACGATGTTGAGCCAGTTGATGAGACGGGTGTTGAAATCGTCATCGTCTGAGAAATCATCGTCGTCGTTGTTGTTGTTGCTGCTGTTGTTGTTGATGGCGGCCATAGAGTTGGCGCGTCGCATGTTGGTATTGACAGGTTTGGGGGGCGGGTTGGTTTTGTTGACGTTCCCACCGTGGATTCGATCCATGGATAAGTTTCGGGACATGACCCTCTGGATGGCTCTCTCCTTGGACTGGTGGATGAGATCTGGCTTCAGCTTGCCACCCAGGGTCTGCTCTGAGTTTGACCGCTGCGCCGCCCGGCCCCTCGGGCTGTGCTCCGTGGCGTTGGGCAGGTTTTTGTTGCGCGCGTGAGTCTGGTACCGTGCCGTGTCCTTCCGGCCTGGCGCGGCGTGCGGTAGAACGACAGCATCGTCGTTGTTATTGTTGTTATTATTATTACTACTGCTATTGCTGTTGGCCTTGTAAATCGGCGGCGCCCTGGGCGTCTGGTTGCTATAGTTACCGTTATGGGGGGCCCCGACGCACTGGCCTTCGATGAGGGTCTCCAGCTTGGTCTGGGAGCCCATGTTGTCTGCGGTGCTCCATGACATGGCCCGGTGCCCGTACTTCCTTGACCCCGACACGCCCACCTCCCCCGTCATGGATGAGAGATTTGTGGATATCGACTCCTGACTGGAGCCCGCGATGAGGGCGCCGCTCAGCGACGGGTCGCTGTAGTTCCGGGGTAGCGGCCCTTTCTTCTTTTTGTTCTGTGAGCCCGGGGTCACGCTGACCTGGCCAGGTGTTTTGCTGCCCCCGTCCAGTACTGGGTAGTTCGTCTTCAGGGATGAAAATGTCTTCGTTCCGTTTCCGGTATTGAGGTTGAGAGAAGTGCCTAAAATAGAAACAAAATACGTCATTGTGGAGGTAATTCGCTGCTCCATCTTTTATTTTATTTGACAATTAACATTTCGCCAAGATCATTATTCAAATTAATTAATGATTAAGAATTTTTTATAAGAACATTAAATTAGCCTCATTAAGACGAGATGTAAATAATATCTCTTCTATAGATAAGAGTTAGACATTGTAGGCTAGTACACAACTGTTGCTATTTAATCAGGTTATAGGCACAAAGCTTTCTTTCAGACATTTTTTCTGGGGGCGTCAGCACTTGAGAATGGGGGGGGGGGGTGGTCGCATTTAAATTTTAAGTATGTGGGGGTGGGGAGTAGGCATAAGCTTGTTAAATATATATTTACTATATCGGATATATTTTTTCTCTGACATCCAGGGGGGGGGGGGTATCTGGTTAATGTGCTCCGGGTTGGGGAGGGGAGGGCAAAGCAATGCCTGAAAGATACTATGATAAGCTCCTGCGCGAGCTGCTCTAAATCTGATTGTAGAGGTTACTATTGGCTGGACTCATAAGCTAAGTCAGCAAGTGATGGGTTGATAACTTGACCAGCCACTGACCTTGACGCCCCCCACCACCATCACCCTGGTCAGCAAATGATGGGTGTATGACTTAAACAGCCACTGACCTTGACGCCCGCCCCCCCACCATCACCCTGGTCAGCTAGTGATGGGTGGATGACTTGACCAGCCACTGACCTTGACGCCCGCCCCCCCCCCCCCCACCATCACCCTGGTCAGCTAGTGATGGGTGGATGACTTGACCAGCCACTGACCTTGACTTCCCCCCCCCCCCCCTCTATCACCCTGGTCAGCTAGTAACAGCCACGGGATTAAATGTCTATTTCTCACAACAGTTCTGTAACTTTAAATAAGTTACCGGAACTATGTGCCTAAAAAATGCAAGGTCTTGCAACAAAAAAAAACCTCTTATACAAGATCACACGTCATGATTATATCAATATATATATATATATATATATATATATATATATATATATATATATATATATATATATATATATATATATATATATATATATATATATATTTATATTTATATTTATATTTATATATATATATCCAAACTGGACATGACTTCTGTATTAGAGACTAAAAATAACTAGCTCAGCGATTGGACACACACACACACACACAAACGCGCAAGTCGTGTCTCTGTGCCAAAAGTTCCCAATGATTCAGTGTCAAGTTATTTCTAAAGGCAATGACCACCGGGGTCTGCTGCTCTCTTAAACTTGACGCCATTTGAACCTGTTTCTTTACCAACACTAAGTCTGTTTCCTAATTTTAGCACTGATCTAGTCTGTCACCGACGTAAACACTGCTTAAGTACGGTTCCCATAGGCCAACTTATTTCAAGAGTGTGTCTCATTTACCAATCGGTATAAAATTCAATAAATGATATAAATATATTATAATATTTATCATTATATTGGCTTGATATAAGTTCAGATAAATTTATGTTAAATGAAAACGTTTATCCAAGCAATGAACGTCAGATCACGTGTTCGGCAAACCTTACAGAAATCCAAACTCGTGTATGGCTAATGGGGGGGGGGGGGGGGATTTTACACGCTGAATATTATGTAGCATTTGTCAAGGGGTCGGGACATATTACACAACATGAGGAGAGTTATATTTATCATGTGTTATGTTGTGGTATATGAGGTAGGGGGTGGGGTGTTTAATAACAATGTTATGTAACTATGTTGTATAACACGAACTTTGGTATTGTTTATTCTTTTTTTTTTTCCATTAGATACAGTTTTGCTTCAAGAGTTGTTGGATACATAGTATGAAACGTCTGGCTTGCATATTTTTCTTTTAACTCAATATATGTCTCTGATGTTGTTTTTAAATGAAAGTGTGACAAGCAATTCTGTCTAAAGTAATATGATTCCCATACTACACTTTTATAACTTAATTTTTTGTATTTGGCCCTACTTGTTGTATTTCTGGGAGAGAAGGTATGGGGGGGGGGGGGACGTCTAAGAGATGTGGTTTTGGGGTTGTAGGTGATGGTACCCTAGTGTTGTATGAGACAGGGGTTTGTTAAAACTGTCCTGTTTTGTGTGCACGATCTCATCACTGGTTCTAGAACATCTATTTTATTTAGAACATCCATTTTATAAGCTGAACTTAAGTCAGTGGTTCTATAACACCTATTCTATTAGCTGAACTTAAATCTCTGAGGTTCTGGAACATCTAATTTAGTTCTAATACCGAGTGGATAATAAGGAGACTAAAACTTATTGTTCAACTATAGTCAGACAAGAGGTGGCACTTCCCCGTTAGTTACCTAACAGCCTAAAGCATTTCAAGTAGCGACCGTTTGAATAGAATCTAATTATCAACTGTTTGTTAAATTGGGTACCTAGGCCTACGTCTTAATTAGTGCCTAGGGGTATGCGCTAACCGGTAGCAAAGCGTTAATTAGTACTTACTAATGTAGGTTTCTATACTCTATGGTGTTGTAGTTTGTACAATACTTGCTAGGCCGACATAACGAAGAAGTAGCGAATAAATTCTATGAAAAAAATGAGTCCACTTACCGGAAGAGTTGAGACTGTTGTTAGACGTCTTACGTTTGTCTCCCCTGCTAGAGATGGGAGGTAACTCCGGGGCGCTCATCCTTCTATAAATAGAATCATGCGTCAGATCGTAAACCTGAGTCGAGCCCTGGGTGTCGTCTGGGAGGGCAAAGGTCACCCCGCCGCTGCCCCGTCGTCTGAGCGTGTCTTGAACCGCGGTCGCCTGCGTGAGAGCCTGTCTGTTGTCTACCTTGTTCGTGTGTCTGTGTGCCGCGCTGTGCTCAGGTGAGATGTAGTGATACTTGTATATACCCGACACGTCGGAGACTTTCGTTGAAGTCGTACTCTCCGAACGAAAATCTTTCTTGACTTTCTGATACGACGATTTGGGTCTGAGAGTGGTAGACCCGGGTTCAAAGGTTAAATCCGTGTGATGTTGCTCATGGTTGGGGCGATGGGTTCTCTGATCCGTCACGTCTTGCGTATTCCTAGAGTCTGGAACCCCGCCATGGGAAGGACCGCTGCCAAGTACGACGCCTTCAGTCACCGTGGGCTCCTTCTGTTTTCCAGATCGTCTGCTGACACACCGCTTGTACCTGCTGGAGTAGAAGTTAATGTCGTAGTCCCCGGCTTCAGGGGACGTAAGCCCGATGGAGGTGTGGGGGCGCAGCGGCGTACGTGACGCGCGTCTGTCGCTCGAGTTATCGCCGCTGGCGTTTACTCCAAGCGGCTTACCGACCCTTGCAGGCATTTGTTTGGCCAATTTGTCCTCGTCAGATTTTAACGCATGCGTACGTCTCGTAAGTCCGCAGGTGGTTTTTGACGTCTTCTTCAGCCCGCAAAGGTGACAAATGTCTTAAAATACATTTGGCACTTAAGAGCTTGTGTACTACAGTGGCAGGTCATTTGTAACCTGTCAATAGAAACATAAAACAATTTCTTTTAACCAATCCTTCAAGTGAATGGTGCCTGCAGTGTATTTTATTTTTATTTTTCTAATGAAAAACATTTTCAGTTTCTTTAAGATCACAATAAAAATAACATAACCAGGGTGCGTCAGAATTTGAAATTTTCTGAAGTCATTCATGCGTGATAGGTTGACGCTTGAAACAATGATCAAACATTGCAATAGATGATCGATTTGATTGATTTACGTTATGTTATAATTGTGTTGTTGGTTAAATAATACATTAATGTAGCCGTGTAGTTGGCTTGTATCCATACCCCACGTAATGCATCCATATCCCACATAATCTATCCATACCCCACGTAATGTATCCATACCCCACGTAATGCATCCATATCCCACGTAATGTATCCATACCCCACGTAATGCATCCATATCCCACGTTATGTATCCATATACCGGATGCATTATGAGGGGGTGGGGTGGGGAGGGGGCAAACATAATGGGATAAGTTTCGAAGAATAATAAGCGGAGGTAAAAAAAAAATTTGATGTTTTAGTAAGAGGTAGTAGTGAAGGATTCTAGGAAAGGTAGGCGCCTATGTTACCGTGTGGTGAGAAGGGGTGATATTAACACACGTGGTAAGCGGGGTAACATCAATGTTGTAACCTTAACACAAGTGGTAAGCGTGTTAACATCAATGTGGTATCCAAGTTGTAAGCGAGGTAACATCAATGTAATATCTTTAACACAAGTGGTAAGCGTGGTAACATCAATGTAATATCTTTAACACAAGTGGTAAGCGGGGTAACATCAATGTGATATCTTTAACACTAGGGATAAGCGGGGTAACATCAATGTGATATCTTTAACACAAGGGGTAAGCGTGGTAACATCAATGTGGGATCCTTAACACAAGTGGTAAGCGGGGTAACATCAATGTCATATCCTTAACACAAGTTGTAAGCGGGGGTAACATCAATGCGATCACATTAGTCACTAAGTGATGTCAGCAACTGGTAAACGTGATGTCGACATGACAGTGGGCATAATTAGCCCGGGGCCACGAGGGGTGGGTAGCCATATCATTGTATGTGTCATGTGGGTAGCTCTATCATCATTTGAACCATACCATTTCCCTCTGGGTAACCACACATATGGGTAGCCATACAATTGTATGTGCCATACATATGGGTAGCCTCACCATTGTATGTGCCACATATGAGGGTAACCATACCATTGTATGTGCCACATATGGGTAGCCATACCATTGTATGTGCCACATATGAGGGTAACCATACCATTGTATGTGCCACATATGAGGGTAACCATACCATTGTATGTGCCACATATGAGGGTAGCCATACCATTGTATGTGCCATACATATGGGTAGCCTCACCATTGTATGTGCCACACATGAGGGTAGCCATACCATTGTATGTGCCATACATATGGGTAGCCTCACCATAGTATGTGCCACATATGGGTAGCCATACCATTGTATGTGCCACACATGAGGGTAGCCATACCATTGTATGTGCCACATATGAGGGTAGCCATACCATTGTATGTGCCACACATGAGGGTAGCCATACCATTGTATGTGCCACACATGAGGGTAGCCATACCATTGTATGTGCCACATATGGGTAGCCTCACCATAGTATGTGCCACATATGGGTAGCCATACCATTGTATGTGCCACATATGAGGGTAGCCATACCATTGTATGTGCCACACATGAGGGTAGCCATACCATTGTATGTGCCACACATGAGGGTAGCCCTATCATCATTTGAGCCACACCATTTCCCTCTAGGTAACCACACTATGACCAGCCACTAACACTGATTTAGGAATTTAAATCTAACAGACAAAAATCTGCTGGATCGAATCCAACTTGAGCACACTAAAAACATTAACCCCAAAACTTCCCAAATTAAAACTGACTTGACACTAGAGTCAAGAGTCAGCGTGACTCCTCTCGGCACATACAGCAATGAAATATCGATCAGCTTAAATAATCGATTGATCGGCTCCTGATCTGTCGATCTCTCTCTAATCCCTGCTATTGGCCTCAACTAGTTGCTAATATCTGATAGTCTTGGACGCGGGTCGGTGCTGGTTTTAATTGATCCGTGGTTAGGTAAACACGGATTTAGCTCTATTGGAAGATTAATCAGATTCAGGGGTTCTTACATTGGAGACAAGAGGTTCTTGTTTTTACATTGTCATGGCGGTTCTAAAATTGTTCGGTAATGTATTGAATACTTGTTTCTATACTAGATGACTAATCTGTTCTGTTTTTACATGCAGCATTTCTCACGTTAATGCAGTGGAGTAGGGAAGGGTGGGGGTGTTGTCTCATGTTAAGTACAGCTATTGGTAGGGGTGTTGCTTTTATCGCTACTATTGCAAAGTTAAGAATTTCATATAAACAACACTTGTACGCTGTTAAAACCGATATATATATATATATATATATATATATATATATATATATATATATATATATATATATATATATATATATATATATATATATACCTGCCCACGTCACTACATTAGCGCAAGATTTTTTTTTTCAAAACGGTTTAAAAACTGTTTGGTAACCCACGCTTAATGAATAAAGTACAGTTCACTATCGGACCTGACGGCTCATGAGGCGGGTGAAGTAGATTTCACTGTTAAAAGTATATATTTTCTATATAAATTCCATTTCGTTCAGCAGGGGGGGGGGGAGACTTTCTTGGAGCCCCCCGAAGAGAACTGGAAGAAACTCTGTTTTACACCTAACTTTTTCCACCACTCCATCCACCCACCCCTAACACACCCACCTTATCCACACACACAATCACTCACCCCATTCATCAACGCCTTCACCCACCTCATCCACCCACATTTTAATCAAGGCCTTGAAAGTCTCATTTTTTTCATATCAAGGCTTTAAAAGTCCAATTTTTCGTAATATTGAAGATTAAAAGTCTTAGATTTCTAAACATCGAGATTTCAAAGTATCAGTTTCATAATAGAGGTTGATAAAAAAAATAACTCTCATATCTCATGATATTTTAAGTTTGAAAATCCATTATTTCATGACTGCAGTTTACCCTGTTTACCAACAAAAAAAACAATATCAGATTGTTTTTAAATCCCCCCTCCCATCAGTCTAGCCTTCTTAAGCACTTCAAACAGCTCTAACACTGTATCGATGAGAACAATAACCTGATCAGTATTGATCCAATCGATTTTTTACCACGACCCAACATACCAGAGTGTGGCGAAACGCGGAGGGGGATAACTCAGGTTAAACGTAATCAGACAGGAATGCTAGTTATGGGCCTTGTTTGTGTCGTGTAGACAGGAAACCAGACACAACAATAGGTCATGTGACTCCACCAACTGCGTAGACAGCGAGGAAACGTTGAACAAACTAGTGAACACTTTTTTTTTTCTCTTTTTTTTTCTTCAAGTGAACACAATGTTTGTACGGAATTTTAAACAGCTTGTACATTTTAAGTATCAGCTTATTTTTAAATTGCGAATGTCTCCTTTTTTGGGGAATGTCTGATTTTTACGGCGAATGTCTGATTTCATAGTAAATGTCTGATTTTATTGTAAATGTCTGATTTTAGGAAAAGATCAGAAAGACTAACATAGCTTGTTTATAATTATAAAGACCACTACGTTATTAATAGAATGTTAGTACAGTGGAGTTACTCTTCTTGTTGTCTTAAAATTTACTCTATTATCGCCCTTGAACTAGTGACGTATTTAATTTTTTTTTATCTGATCAATGTCAGATAGGTTTTATAACGGAAACAGGTTGATGTCAGATAGGTTTTATAACAGAAACAGGTTGATGTCAGATAGGTTTTATAACGGAAACAGGTTGATGTCAGATAGGTTTTATAACGGAAACAGGTTGATGTCAGATAGGTTTTATAACGGAAACAGGTTGATGTCAGATAGGTTTTATAACGGAAACAGGTTGATGTCAGATAGGTTTTATAACGGAAACAGGTTGATGTCAGATAGGTTTTATAACGGAAACAGGTTGATGTCAGATAGGTTTTATAACGGAAACAGGTTGATGTCAGATAGGTTTTATAACAGAAACAGGTTGATGTCAGATAGGTTTTATAACAGAAACAGGTTGATGTCAGATAGGTTTTATAACGGAAACAGGTTGATGTCAGATAGGTTTTATACCGGTAACAAACGTTGATTTGTGTCCGATATTTGACTTTTTCAGAATAACACCACACGGTACTGGACAATGGACGCCCTCTTTAACCACCCCTCCCCCTCCCCCCCTCCCCTAACCCACAACATAACCAACCAGAATGATTTAGCTGGTCCAATCGATCGCGGCCGTCAAGATTCGATCTGATCCTTTCTGTGTTCGTTCTTAAAACTCCACGTGTGGTGGTGGTGGTGTCTACCCACACCTTCCTCACATGTCAGGTGGTGGTGTATACCCACGCCCACATCTGCAGGTGGTGCTGTCTAACCACACCTTCTTCACATGTCAAGTGGTGGTGGTGTCTACACACACCCACACCTGCAGGTGGTGGTGTCTACCCACGCCCACACCTGCATGTGGTGCTGTCTAACCACACCTTCTTCACATGTCAGGTGGTGGTGGTGGTGTCTACACACACCCACACCTGCAGGTGGTGGTGTCTACCCACACCCACACCTGCAGGTGGTGGTGTCTACCCACACCCACACCTGCAGGTGGTGGTGTCTACCCACACCTTCCTCACATGTCAGGTGGTGGTGGTGGTGTCTACCCACACCCACACCTGCAGGTGGTGGTGTCTACCCACACCTTCCTAACATGTCAGGTGGTGGTGTCTAACCACACCCACACCTGCATTTGGTCGTGTCTAACCACGACTTCCTCACATGTCAGGTGGTGGTGTCTACCCACACCTCCCTCAGGTGACAGGTGGTGGTGTTTAACCACACCTTCCTCACATGTCGGTTGGTGGTGTCTACC